CAACACTGCATGCATTTGACTAAGTAGGCAGTGTCTGAATACATTTGTTAATCTTTAAGGTGCTCCAAGACTTGTTTTTGTTGCAACAGACTGACCTACCCTAACCCTACCTTTCTGGCGTTTTTTACTAAAATGATGTAAGCCTAATGACCACAGCAGCAGTTGCTCTTAATTTTAATGTTTGCTGTGATAACTCAATTTTCAGGCGAGCTAAGCCATTGCTGCCTTATGTAAGTTACTTGCAGCCAGAGTCACACTTAAATCTTCATCATGATTAATCACAGTTTCCTGGGGCAATGTGGAAGGCTTGTATGTATAATCTCTTTGCACTTCAAATCATTCTGTATGTGCACTTGAGTACCAAAGTCCAGCATCAATGTGTTGGGTTTATTCTTCATTTCCCTCCCATTTATATAATGTGTTAGTTGCAAATTTCCCAGTAACGTCATCCAGTAAATGAATTTTTAGAATGACCGTGAAAGCATTAAAAGCAGTTGCTCTTCATTGCTAGAATGTTTCTAGTTATGACTTCAGTGCCTTTTACTAGCCACTTTGGGTCAACTGAACCCTTTGAAAGGGATCCTCTGTGACTGTTATGCCAACCAGCCACTGACCTGTATAACACTGGTGCAACAAAGAGCTATGGGGAGGTATAGAAATGAAATCAATAAAAATAACATAGTTGTGATGTTGCTGGGGAGGGTGTGCGGAGGGCAAAAGTACAGGAAAAGTAGTAGAAACAAAAAGCAACCTATTGAAATAGCTCCTACAGAGACCCTAAGCAACTTTAATGCTAGCCACCTATCAGAGATTCTCACTCCCATAGCAATCAATGGCAAAAAAAGGGAGGAGGAGGAGGAGGAGCATGCTACAACAGCTGTGAAACTATGATGTCACAAGATTCAGTCTGTTCTCCTGCAGACAGAAGCACTTCCCTAGGAGCTTCCCATAGCCTGTTTTTTAAGATGCTTGCACGTGGAGACTTGGAAGGGCAGCAGCAAAGGACCTAGAAAAGATCAGGCGTATGGATGTTTTCCTGGAGACCAAGGTTAAGATCATCCAAACTATTCCATTCCCAGTCACAACATATGGGTGTAAAAGCTGGACAATGAAGAAAGCTGAGAAGAAAAGTGTGTTCGAAACATGGTGCTGGAGGAGATCTTTATGAAGAGTCTGGATGGACAGTAAGACAAACCTAGGCTTTTCCTAGAAGGAAAAATAACAAAATGGAGGCTCTCATACTTCAAACACATCATGAGAAGGCAAGACTCACTGGAGAAGACAACCAAAGCCAGAAAACTAAAGGGAATGTTGTGCACCAAGTTTTCTTCCCTTCACAAATTCAAGGTAACAGACTGTTTCTTGTGAAAAGCTCTTCATTCACCGAAGGCTACCCAATAAAGACAATCGCCACAGAATGTATCTCTGAGCATGCACAGAGTGGTTTGTTGAACCCAATCTTAACTACTTCTGGAAAGCCTCCTTTTGAATATGTCTGGGCCCAATCCCTTCTGAAGGGCCCATGTAGAAGCAAGCATGCCTCTTTTCTATATGCCTATCCTCTGGTTGGTTGGCCCGCCTCTCCTGGCTCAGGATCGCAGGGGCAGGAGTCTTATTAGGTTCGTCTGACTCTGAGAGTGCCTCTCCCATATCCCTACTTGAAACCTGTGCACATTGGCCATTCTCGGAGCCTGTCTGAGCACTTGGGAGAGTGGCTTTAAGATAAGCACTGCTTCTTTCATCTCAAAGTCCAGAGCCCCCTCTGCCTCCTCCCCTTCGTTTGCTCACTTAGAGTCCAGATCAGCATGACCCGTGAGTGTGTGCCAAGAAAAGCTGCCACCCTAATTCGCAACAGGGAAGGCCAAAGAAAGCCTCGGCTATTAGATGGTATATCAATGAATAAAATAAGTATGAGTTGGATTAAATCCATAAAGGAAGCCACAGCCTTCAGCTTGGAAGAGTTTACTGAAGCTGTCATGGACAGGACATTTTGGAGTTGGAGTTGAGGTGATGACACATAACAGCAACAACATTTAGATGCCACCTGTGGATGGATATCGGGATATTTGCTTCCTCTTTTCTGAAGGTTATGCAGTTGTTTCTGTTGATAGTACACGTATACTTGTAGATGAATGCCTCATGCACAGAGTCTGTGCTTTATTTTAATTAGTATAGGAAAACCGTTTTTTCTTCTATGTGGGATTCTTTGTTTTTGTGAAATTCTCATACAAATTATGTATAATCAGAGGAAGACTCCTTTGTAGCCAATGTAAGTATGGCTGAAGCGATCACGATTTTACTTAAACGGTATCAGTGGTGAAGAGAATTGTGACAGCATTGCAGAGGAATGTGATTTCCCACCTTGTTTTCACAGGATCTCCAGGCCCTTGAAATTTGCATGATGGGAGAGTAACAGGTGTTGCTATCTGCATCACTGCACCCCTATGCCAAGTATGCCCACAACTGTTATGTTTCCATCTGCTGAGAACCTTCCAAAAGGTCAGAAGCCCTGCGAGGAAAATAATGGAAAGTCTACATATGAAGAGTTGTTTTGCCACTGGTCACTGTTGGTTCTGTATGAATTGTTTGTATTATCTGTCAGCCATTCTGTGGGTGGGGAATGCTGGTGACTCTGCACATGCTGGTATCTGCAGAGAAGGGAGAAGAACTGCTCTACTACTTATTTAGTGCAAAGCCCCCACTTTTGTCCTCATAGCTGGGGCAAAGCAACATGGCCCATTGCTGTACACTTTTGATACATGATCTCTGTTTCTTTGCTGTGGCATATATTCTTGGAGCAGCACTGTTGCTGTTTGGTTTTAGAGTCAGTCAGAATCTTGGCTGTGGAATTGTTCTCTTCCAGGAGTTTCTGTTGACTTAATAGAAGCATTTGATTTATGCTACTTATTCAGTAGGTGTAGCAATATGATTCTCTGAGCATAGGTTTCTGACTAAGCTTCCCTGGTAGAGTTCTGGAAATCCATTGTGTTCTCTTAACTTTTTGTTCAACCAGCACGTGTGGATGTAGGAATGATCCCAGCTTCATTCTCCCAATGTAATGAAATATTGCTTTGTTTGTTCCTGTTATAATTGTCTCCAACATGATATTTGAAGGATGAGAGGAAAATGGGATATTTGGGTGAATTTCTCACCAACAAAGATGAGAAATCAATCTCTAAAATCTGGGGAAATGTGTGTACCTGAGTTCTTGTGAATTTACCAGCTGTAACATGGAAGAATTTGGCCTGGCTAGTCTGTGCAAGACATTTTTAGTGGCAGAGGAGAGGGTATAATTGAAAATAGCGAGGCTTTTTATTCACATATCAGTGGGTTGGGCATTCAATAGGAAACTTTATATAGAATGCCCAACCTGCTGGCTGTGCTTTGCAGTGATATGAGGGTGTTACGCTTGTCTTTGTGTCACCATCCTGTTGGATGGTTTAGACGGACAACCATTTCTTGAAGTACAACTTTAGCTAATGAGACTGTCCATGTCCGTCGTGTCTCTCCTTTTCTGTACTGACTTGTGTTTCTTTCTTCAAAACCTATCTGTGCTTAGTTATGATGGCAAAAGAAGAAGGGGATGCTAGATGTAGTCACTGGGGCAGTGGGTGTAAGCTTGGGTGGACTCCAAGGGATGGTGGAGGACAGGAGAGCCTGGGGGAATGTTGTCCATGGGATCGTGATGGATCGGGCAAATGCTTAGTTAACTGGCCCTATTCCCCTCTTCTTCTGTCATACCCTTACAGCTGTAGAAGGTCAAGAATAATTTCCTATGCTTGGTTAATCTTTGCAAAACTTATTTTTCTATCCTGGTTGCCAAGTCCTAACAACCTTGAACATGATCTTTTGCTTCTATGGCATCTCCGCATGTTGAATGTGGTGTTTTTGTAGAGGGATGCTATGAGTTCAGTTGTATGTATTGTTCATTAGTTTCATCTGAGTTTTATGGATAGTAGATTAAAATTCTCCTTCTGATATATCTCTTAAGCTCAAAAAGTCCATTTTGCCAAAAGGGTCTTCTCTCCTCCTTCCCTCTCCTCACCTCCAGAAAAACTAAGCTTACCTTCAGGTTAATACAGGCATGGGAGGTAAGGCTATCACAACTAGGGATCCTGGGTTTGGAGTACTGTAGAGCCCCTCTGGCAGCCCCACCTCTGCTGTTAAACTAGTTGGGGTGTCCATTCATCAGCTTCTTTACCCTTTTCAAATACTCCCACCCCTCAGTGCGTGGTCACCCACACACCTAGACTCCATACCTGTCTTGTTTTCTCCTATCATCCCCTTCAGCTCTCTTTATTTTGTAACTTAGAATCCAGCTACTGTCTCTTAGATTCCAGTAACCCAAATTTCATCCATTATTGCATTACAACTTGTTTCATTTTGTAAGCATCGCGGTCCCTTGAAGAAAGTGCAAAATAAGAACCCTAACTTCTAAGAATATTCTTTTTGGTTTTTTGGGTGTTTTGGAGTTTCACTTCTTCTCCAACCATGGCTACTAGAGACAATCTTATTTTAATTAAGATGTGATGGTTGTGATTTTTATTGCAAAGCTTTCAGAAAACTCAAGAGAATCGACGAGAACATTTTAATATTGTTTCATGGGTTTTTCTCCCCTATTTAGGGATGTGTAGCTTCCCCCTGCACCTATCATTGTGTCTAATGGAGCTTCAAATTAACATAGTTGCTTGTTTATTTGTTAGAGGAAAGCCATCATAAAAGCAGCAGCACAGCTTTGGGAGCAGAGTATTTAGCTGCTAGTGCTAAGGAAGTATCTAAGTTGCAGGGGAATCTCTATTAAGTGTAATGCTGTTATGTGTGTTTTCCTAAAGCACCTCCACTAGCCCTGATGGATTATCCTCCATAAATAATAAGTGTATGAAATGCTTTGAAATAATTCAGAAACTGCTGTATTTATAGTGATGTAGGTCTTTAAGATGTTCTTGAAGTAGTGCGGAATATGATGTGGAGTATAATTTGCCTTTTTTGTTTGTTTGTAGAGGTTGGCGATCTTAGAGAGCTGCAGACACTGGACATCTCAACCAATCATTTGATCAGCTTGCCTGAACGGCTGCACATGTGCCTCTCTCTTCAGTACCTAACTGCTGACCGGAACCATCTATGGTATGTCCCTCGCCATCTCTGCCAGCTTCCCAGTCTCAATGAATTGTCCATGGCTGGAAACCGTCTTGCATTTCTGCCACTGGGTGAGTGATATTCTCTCTCTCATGCGCATGCATGCTGCACACACTTTTTAAAATTAAATTAATATGTTAACAAGACATAACAGGAGAAATGATAGGTGGTATGGGAAAAAGAGGCAGCAATCAGCTTGTTGTTGTTGTTATGTGCTGTCCAATTGTTTCAGACTTATGGCTACCCTACAAGGAAAGCCCTCCAGTATGTCCCATCCATGACGGCACTGCTTAATTTTTGCAGATTCAAGGCCGTGGCTTCCATTAATAGAGTCAGTCCATTTCCTATTTGGTCTTCCTTTTCTTCTTCTGTCTTCAGTGTTCCCAAGCATGACTGTCTTCTCCAGGGAGTTTTGCCTTCTCATGATTTGCCTAACCCTTCTCATGATTTGCCTGAAATATGACAACTTCAGTTTTGTCATTTCTAGGCACCTATTATCTAAGTAATTTGTCAAAAGTTATTGTTTATGCCTGAGACAAATGTCCATCCTTTGGGTATATAATTAAACACAGCCCTACATTTTTCAGATCCTGATTAATACTGATTAGCTGAGCTTTGATGAACTGTCAGTTTCACCAAAGTTTATCATTCCATCATACTTTCCTAAGTTACACTTTTGCCTTCCAGTGTTCTACCTACATTATTATTGTTTCAGTAGTAATTAAAATAAGAAAGAGTGATCATCTGCTTTAATCAACAAGCCAAGGATAAGCTAGAGGTGTGTGTGTGTGTTGTCCCAGTATTGTTCCAAGATTTAGCTTTGTTTTAACCCCAGATGCTTGGTCTAGTCAAGGCCAGCCTACATCAGGTCTGGAGGTAACTTAAGAAGAAACACAATCACTTATGTCAAAGATGACAAACAGTTTATTGAATACAATGATGTTGTATGGATGCAGAAAGTAAACAAGCAAAAGAAAGGTTAAACTTCTCTGTAGCCTATTGGTTCTCTGAATAGGCATGGGAATGCTCTGTGAACCTCCAAAGGTGTCTAGACAAGTGACACAGCAATTCTTATCCCCAGGTCAAGAACCAATTGCACTTCTTGCCACAGATTTTATAAAGGTCCTCTCTTTCAGCATTATGGAGTCTGCCAATATGCACACAGGTTCCTGCCTCCCATCCCTCCTGGGAGCAAAGCAAGCAGTTTCATTCTCACCAAAAATACAGAAAAATTGGGGCAAGCAGCTTCAGGGTGATTACCCTGGTGCTCTTCCCAGGAATCTGAAGGCCATAATGCCTTTGCTTGGCTTCAAGAAACTCCTTTGGGACACCGGGAAAGTTGACTTCACTACCTGTTGACCTTAATATGACTCTAATAACCCCCTCAGCACTCTGTAGAGTCTGTGCATCTTTCTTTTGAACAATCAACATTGCTCAATCCTGGTGAGGTTTGTGCTTGAGAGCGACCTCTCCCTCTGCAAGGGTGCGGACCCGATTGTGTGGGTCCGTCCCCGGAGGCGGATGGATCCGGATGGATTCCTGAAGGCCCTGGGGGAGTTTCCGGATGACAAGACTGGTGCTCCTGTCGAGGCTTTGGTCGAACTGTGGAACGGGGAGATGACCAGGGCTGTGGACACGATCCTAAGCGTCCTCTCCCACTGGGCAGAGCCTGCTCTTCCCCTTGGTATACACCTGAATTGCGGATCTTGGAAGTGGTTAACGCTTCTCTGAGGGAGGGTCGGGTTCCTGCCCCTTTAAAGGCGGTAGTCCGGCCGGTCCTGAAGAAAGTGTCACTGGATCCAGAGATGGCCACTAACTATAGACCAGTGGCCAACATCCCGTTTCTGGGCAAGGTGTTAGAGCGGGTGGTGGCGGGACAACTCCCAAGCACTCTTGGATGAAACTGATTATCTAGACCCATTTCAGTCCAGCTTCAGACCTGGGTACGGTACTGAATCTGCCTTGGTTGCCCTGTACGATGACCTGTGCAGGGAGAAGGACAGGGGGAGTGCCCCTCTTGGTTCTCTTGAACCTCTCAGCAGCTTTCAATACCATTGACCATGGTATCCTTCTGGATAGGCTGACTGGGTTGGGAGTTGGAGGCTTTGCTTTTTAACATCTACATGAAACCGCTGGGAGAAGTCATCAGGAGGTATGGGCTGCGGAATCATCAGTACGCTGACGATACCCAGCTCTACCTCTCGTTTTCCACCAATCCAGGTGAGGCAGTGGCTGTGCTGAACTTGTGCCTGGCCGAGGTAATGGGCTGGATGAGGGCCAATAAACTGAAGCTCAATCCAGACAAGACAGAGGTCCTGTTG